CTCAGGTTAGCATAAATTCTAAGAAAAACACCATAACCAAGTGCATTACTTCTCAAAGTTGGGACTGTCACAAATAATATGTCAATTTCTGTCTATGTTACAATAGAAAGTCAAATACAGGATGTTTTAGTAGAACTCAACAACACTTCATAATTCCTATACTTCCATACATTAGACCCCCAACAAACCATAACAGAACTCCATAATCTAGCAATAAATAAATCACCAAAACCAAATGATACTTGATCCAAGAGTTCACCAAAGGGATGAGATTGACTCATAACCGAACATTTTTAAAAAATGCAGTATAACAGATAAAACAATAGCAGCTCTACTTTGAGAAACTTCACTTACATCCAAGAGAAACAATATACCTCCAGCTTCAAAATGCGAGCTATTCGATTACCGTAGACTGCCCAAAAAACAACATTGTTTCAAGAGAGAAATCTAATTTCCTTTCGAATAATTGCACTGTGGACTCCTCCCTAAACAACTTAACAATTAGTGTCCGATAAAGAGATCGAGCAGCGCCGAAGCTAACAAACGATGAAAAAAACCAGCCAACACAGGAACACAAAAATTACCAATCCTCATAATCTAAACTATTATCCAACACACAGCGCTTGATCTGCTATAATGCAGAAGATTTCAAATGTTAGAAATTAACATTGTCAAACAGAAATTAAAGTCATACCTGTTATTATACCAACAAATCATGCTAATAAGTATGCTGATTTTCATGTCCTGTTGCAGCAGCATAAGCCAAACAGCCATTATATGCTGTTAAACTTATCATTTGTGAGAGAAATGCAAGAAACATAGAAAAATTGCAAGAAAACAGAATGAGAGAAATTAAACTCATAATAAAAGGTCAAACACTAAGAAATTTCCCTTGGCTGCACTTTTCATTGGTTTCCTCGACCTATGGCCCTTGAGCCGCATGAACAGGGAGCAAATAGTCCTCAAACGGTTAGCCGCAAAGTTTAAAAATCTTTGGCAATTAAAAGAATAAATTGAGGCAATAGTCCTCAGACGGTGAGCCACAATGCAGAAGATTTCAAATGCTAGAAATTAACATTGTCAAGCAAGGAACGTGTTTCAACATGCTATTTGGCATGTCATAACATGAAATGAAAGACAATAAATTCATTAAATTGAGTAACTAATACAACAAGAATTTGCAACAACCATTTCACTGAAAATGCAAATTGAACTCACATGCTCTGTCACATCGTAACGTTTTGGTATATTCTGGACAACTATTGGTGATAATCGCATGGGAGCAAGGGGCACCAAATCAGCTATTTGTTTCAGAGCATCATGCACCCGAAACAGTACCTTATTCTTTCTATGAGCTCCATTTTCATTTTTCAGAAAATCAATGACATGTTTAGGAGCAGTAAAATGCCTCACAAGCCTCTCCAAACACCAATCGATATACATTCCCTTCGAAGCAGCCATCAAAAAATACATATTAAGAAAACTTCAATAAATTCTCAAATGGCTTCATCTACAAATTACAAAGATATTAAGGTAATACTTTTATAGAGTATATTGATATGGTTCACACAAAGAAAATTCATAATATACCTTATCAGCAACAACAGTATCCTGGTCAACAACTCTGTCTACACCTAAATCGTAAACCAGGTCAGGACCTAAAATTGGCATGTTTATATAAGCCGAAGCTGTAGTTGCTGGCTGAAGAAGCTGTTCTTCCAACTCAGCACTCTCCAATTATTCAAGTTCTGCTTCCAATTCATCCTGAAAAGGACAATAAATTCAGAACACCTCATTGTTAGAATTACAACCCCGGTTCAAAAGCAAACACATCCAATAAAAACACAAACAAAGACATGGACACACATTAGCACTCTAAAACACTATAAACAATCAAAAGGTACAAATATCATGTTTGCAACCGACATAACAAATAAGTAAATATTTGAGAGAATTACCTCATCAAAATCAGCTGCTGCACCAATTGGAGTTGACAATGCTTCTTGAATCTACTTCATGTTCTCAGTCTGTTCATTTATCTCATCCATGGTTTTGTCGACATCGTCAATATTCCTGAAAAAAGAAACAGGAGAAAACTTAGGTCATGTTTGGATGAACATCATAATTAATCACTTATAGCATAGGTGTTTATCATATAAGTGCTTTGCTTAGATATAAGCTATAAGCTATTCATAATTGCATATGCTATATTGAAGAACTTATGGATGTAGATGAAAAACAACTATAAGCATGTCATAAGGTGTTTTCACAACTTCTAAACAGTCTCACAAATGTTTATGCTAGTAGATAAGTTCAAATAAACAAATACAAACAGGACCATAGTAATGTCATATAACTGTTTATGCTAATATTGTCAACTGAGGATGGTTGCAACTGAATGAAATGAGTGAAACTTGTCATGTAAATAAATCAAAAAACCAATACATTTAGCTCATTTTTTGACAATTAAATAAACAAAATAGTTTAAGGAACAGATAATGACCCCGTGTTCGGATTTCCAATGAATTCAACACCTAAGCTCAGCAAGAAGAACCAAATCTAAGATAACAAAGACAAAAAAACCAAAACCATGAGCACGCCCTGTTGCGTGATCTCGCATGATCACAGCCTCAATCACCTTCCCATATGTGGAAAAATACTCCATGAGACGTTCCTCATATGTGTCCCAAGATCTTCCTCTAATGAAGAGCTTGCCGAGATCGATTCCATCTATTCAATTACCAATCACAAACACTCATTTTAAACCATGTCCATCACTGACATATCAAAGAAGAAAAAAATAACGGAAAGCATACAAAGCGCACTGACGAACTTTGATATTGATCAAACTTTCAAATTTGGACAAAATATCATTCTAATCAATTGAAGAAAGAATATGTATCTCTATGCCTACAATGAATATGTATCCCTGTTAAATCATTGATTGATTAGCAGCAATAAATACATATACCTGTAAAACTGATTTAAGATTCACTGTAAATGCTGAAATAGGTAGTGGCCTAGGCATGAGAGGTCTGAACCCTGGCATTAATGGTTCACCTCCAAGAAGGGGCGGCAATACAGGAGGAAGGTTCGGCCTCTGACCTATCAGATGATTATAAGCTCCACCAACCTGCTGAAACGCGGCAGCTTGCCCGAGATGTTCTTTGATCCGTTGATCAATTAAACTTTGGGTTTGTTGCTCTTCAAATTGCTGACAGTAAGACCTCACATTAGCTTGAAAACAGAAAACACATCAAACAAATCTCATAAATATAACCAAGATTGCAATGCAGTATAATTTTCAAAAGTGACAAAACTTCGCAGCACCTTGTATTTATAACCGGAGTTATGCTGCTTTCTAACAGATGGCTGCAACATTACACAAAGTTAGAACATTTGCATTGTCCATCTGTCGAATTAAAAAACTATAGCAAGCGAATCTGGTTAATGACTCAGAATTAAAAAACATCATCAGAGTTTCTATAAATATCTGATGGTGCCACCTCCATTCAGATTCAGATGCCTCTCCAGAGCCAATCCAATTTGTACACTGTAGCAACATATGGGCACTTACCAAGAGTATTCCATAAAATATAGTCCCCAGAAGTAACCTGGGCAAAGAAATAGTACAAGACAATGAATATACATTATTCACACTAGAAGGAGCAAAAAAATTAGGTTTGCTCAAAATATGAATCAGTGATCTTGCATAGACACAAAAACAAACAAATACCTGAGTTGAAAACTCGACCGGTGCTTTTACAGCTGGGTAGATGCTTAACTGCAAAGTACACATATTATCAGACAGACAACAAAAGGATGATGACTCCTATAATGGTGAATTTATGATACTTCAACGAAATTATATGGATATTAACTCTGTCCAAAATAAGAGTGTCAGCCAAAAGTGAAAAAGACTTACAAATTTCGAATCAATGGAAATTCCAGATACTGATGCCCCAACAATCTTGAATGAAACCTGTATGATAAGTGTATATCTATATAAGAAAGCCTATTTTCAACAGAATTGGAACTTTAACATGCATTCAAAATATGTAATTACTACACATGGAAAGATAACAATTATAATGACATAATTAAATAACGTAAAACAATAGAAAATAATCAAAGACACTTCAGTTAACAAAGAAGTGTAAAAGTTCATAAAATACTAAAAGATAATATAAAAATGTGGAGGCGTGTACTTTAGCATAATTGTATGCTAGCCAGCAAAACGACCCCTCTAGATCAACTAGAGGAAGATCCTTGTTCATTTTCTCCATCAAATGTTCTTCATTAACCATGTTGCTAGCATTTTCTGCCTCATTATCATTATCCTCGTCAACAATCGTTCCAAAGACTGACCCAGAGGAAGACACCACTTGGCTTTTCCATGGTGCAAACTTGACTGTTCTGGGGAATGTCACTTCAATACTTTTTCCACTTAGTCCCCGTCCACTTGTCACGATTTTCCATTCGACAGAGTGCTCTGAAGTTGAAACTGTTCCCATGGAAGGAGTACCGTCCAAGGAAATAATCTTCCTCCTAGGAAAGGGTATAGTCACAGTACAGAACTCCATTGTCAAAAGAGATTTATAACCTTCTATTAGACGTAACTTAAATAGAAATGCACCTTTATCCTCAGAAACCATTGACAACTGATAGAATCCTTTTACCGGAGGTCCAAGAGCACAAGTTGATTGATATCGCATCAACACAAAATTACCTAATGGAGGAGAAAACACCACCCCTTGCTTATCTAGACCTTGGTCTGAAACTTGAGCACAAGGATGGTATGATGAAACCTCAAGGTTTGCTGTGTTTAATCCGGTTAAGGGAAACGATACATCTGGCAACCCTTCCAGATCAGCTCTACAATTAATTTGACCAAAAACTAATATATTGTCCGGAATCTCATCTCTGTCATAGAGAGCCGCATGAACAATCTCATGAGTCGTAAACAACATTCTCTGCTTTCCTTTGAAAATATATGGCTTTCATGCTGGTTGCTTCTGGTTTGTAGGGGCCAAATCTGAAGCAGAAAATCCATTTGCCTTGATCGTAAAAATATTGGAATAATTAAGGTCCAAGGGCGTACCTACATATAAAATTTACACTGACAAAATAAATTTGCAAGCAACAGGTAATTTCCAGCTTAACTTGTAAAAAAAAAAATATGAGATGAGGAATACCATAATAAAAGGTACCAACCAAAGAGCATTGAACTACTGATAAATGTTATGAGTGCATCTTTGTCTAAAGGCCTAGACCCCGTTTTCGGAGTATCTGCTGTGACAGATCCTTGGCTAGCTGTTCCCATAGGAGAAGAAGAAGCAACTTGTGGAGATACAGGTTTGGCCCGGGATGATATGCCTATACTACCAGTTAATGAATCAAACAGTCCACCAACAGAGGGAGATGCAGCGATTATCACTTCAGGTTCTACTATATCACTCTCATTGTGTTTATAACCGGAGTTATGCTGCTTTCTAACAGATGGCTGCAACATTACACAAAGTTAGCAACATTTGCATTGTCCATCTGTCGCTTACAATGAAAACCATACGCTTCTTCAGAAAAATAAGAAAGTATCATTTATCAGAAGAAACTAATATTGTTGATTATGAGCATAAATGAATGAATAAGCAATTATCCTATAGAAATGAAGTTTCTTACAGTAACTAAAAAGAAACCTAAAACAACAAAGGAAAATGAAGTTTGGACAATTGGCATGACAGTGCATCAAAACTGTTATAACTGGCTTTCACAACCTCACAAAATCTCGAAACTTATAATCTAAACTACCTCAACAAAAATAGATGGAAATTCTAAAATTAAAAGATTGAGGGCAAGTCTGATGAGGAAATGACCCTAACCAAAAGACTGATCAGTAGGCATCAACACCCACCCAATGTATCCACTAAGTTAAGATCCTAAGCTGTCAAGAATTCTCATGGTAGTCCTAAATGATCTAAATAGCAATAGCCTTAAACCCCCAAGATGGCCTTTGCTCAGCCCTCCAACTCTGCTCCAAACCAAGCCCCTCATGTAGAAAACAATAGTAAAACCTAAACACCTAACAATCTGATGGCAACTCCACCTGAGTTGACAAACTCAAGTCTCAAGCATACAATAGAAACCTATACTGCACCAAGTCACAATCCTACTTAAATCAATCAACTGAAACTCAAGCAGTCTGGAGATGCTAAACCAACACTAAAAAACAATAATCTGATATCACACTCAAGGCTAGATGCAAACCACATGAAGGGCCAATAACTCTAGGCATTATAAATAGAGGTGATAGATCCATCCTCTAACAGCAGTCTTTAATCAAAAGACTTAAATGACAGTCCCAAAACCTAATGACAGTAAGCAATAGGATGCTACAATCTTGGTGCAATAAGAACCATACAAACCAAACAGCAACTTCAACAACAAATTCACACAACACGATTAGAAACTTTTGTTTGAAAACAGGAACAACAAACAGTTTTTTTATCAAGAATGAAAACATCAGTCCAAAGTATTGCTTTAAGGATAGTTAATATCTCAAAGTAAGTAGACACCAATTGAACAGCTCAAACTCAAGACAGTTTCAACAACAAAGTTATAACTTAAAACATGACAATGTCCAATTCATTCAACAATCTGTTCAATGCATACATGAAGTTGTAACTCACCAATCAAGCAAAGAACCAACTTAGAATTATAAAATAGCACATTTGTCATCACAATGCCAAGTCAAACAAATGTACATTTAAGCAAAGAGTCAAGCAACTCTAAATATCAACATGCCCTTGACAGATCCAACACAAACTCCAACAGCACTTTTAAGGTCCTAAAGCCCTTGACAGATCTATGCACACTATGTCAACCACAAATGACAATCCAATTTGTCATGAATTCCAACAGACTTATGGTAACAGTCTCCTTCTTGTCTTATCACATCAGCAAAGCAACTTCGAAGGATTCTGCTAACTATCACAAACTAGCCTTTCCTAAGCTGTCTAAGACCTGCCATCATAGGTTGACCAAACCTCTTGTAGACTTGATGACACCAGTCAAAACCCCCGTCTCATGACAGTACCACCTTGTTGTCATAATACCAAAACTCACACACTAATTCAAAAGAAAGTTAGATGAGGGCTCTAAATATTATCAAAACAAATCACAACCAACTCTAACAAGAGCAAACAAGTTAAACAACCAGCAATCAAGAGTTAATAAACTCATCTTTCAAAAATGACTTTGGCAGCAAAGCACATGAGTTCAATATACCAACAGCAAAACTAGTTCACACACAAGCTTAAATCACAACAATTATGAGCTTACCATATTCAAGGCATTTTGACAACATAACCACCATTCAATAGAACCAGGATTAAATGACATTGTCTCGATAATCCTCTCAGCCTCCTTGAGTTTCCCTGCCCTACCCAAAAGATCTATCATGCATGAGTAATGTTCTGCTTCTGGTTCAATCCCAAACTTTTCTTTCATCATATTAAAATGCTTATCACCCTCCTCGACAATTCCTGTGTGTACACATGCAGAAAGAATATATATGAAGGTTATCTTAAGGGATCAATATGTAACGTTTATTAATAAGAGACTAAAATAAAATTTTAAATTAAATTAAAAATTCAAAAGATACGTTAAGTCTTTTAGTTAATAGTATTGATTGACTTTGTTTTTGTTGTTTATTCTTTTACTATATCTTTCGATCTTTTGTAGTTTTTTAATGATTTCTATTTTGATGATTATTCAACCCCATATTTAAATTATAATATTATTATTTAAATTTTTGATATCTAACTTGAGACGGATTAATTTTAATGGGAGTAATCTCACCTTCTACTTATATTTATTTATTATATTATTATTTGCCTTAAAAAAACTAACTTGATAGACTTGAAAAAAACTAAATTGTTGATCTTTTAAATGTATAATAAGAACAAAAAATAAATGATGGAAAAGAGATGGAAAAAATAGAGGCTTGACTAAACGGGACCCATAACCGGAACTGGTTTGGAGGCACTAAGGTTGTGATTCAACTCTGTTCTTCGTTAGATGAATCAATTCCCATGCACATTCCCACTTCAACTTCAAACCTTTCGAACCCTTCTCAAACAATGCATAGCCGAAAGAGATTTCTTAACTGGAAAATCCCTCCACGCTTTCTACATCAAGTCCTTCATTCCACACTCAACTTACCTCTCCAACCATTTCACTCTCCTTTACTCCAAATTCGGCACTTTTCCCAATGCTCTAACCGCTTTCCACCTCACCAACTACCCTAACGTTTTTTCCTATAACACCATCATCCATGCTTGTGCCAAACACTCTCTCCTCCATCTCGCCCACGAACTGTTCGATCAAATTCCCCAACCCGATCTTATTTCGTATAACACCCTCATTGCGGCATATGCTCGCCGAGGCGAGTGTGGGCCGGCGTTGAGGGTGTTTAAGGAAGTTAGAGAGGTTGGGTTGGAGCTTGATGGATTTACACTTTCTGGCGTGATTTCGGCTTGTTTTGAAGATGTTGGTCTTGTTAGGCAATTGCATTGCCTTGCTTTGTTGTGTGGATATGATTGTTATGCTTCGGTGTGCAACGCGGTTCTTGCTTGTTACGGTAGATTGGGACAGTTGCACGAGGCGCGATGGGTTTTTCGAGAAATGGGGGAGGACTGTAGGGATATGGTTTCGTGGAATGCGATGATTGTGGCGTGTGGTCAGCATCGGGAGGGATTGGAGGCACTAAGGTTGTTTGGGGAGATGGAGAGGATGGGTTTGGAGGTTGACATGTTCACCATGGCTAGTGTTTTGACCGCATTCACTTGCCTTAAAGATTTGGCTGGGGGAATGCAGTTTCATGGGAAGATGATCAAGAGTGGATTTCATAGGAACTCGCATGTTGGGAGTGGATTGATTGACTTGTACTCCAAGTGTGCTCCTCATGGAATGTTGGAATGTGTGAAGGTGTTTGGAGAAATTCCTAAACCGGATTTGGTTCTTTGGAACACCATGATTTCCGGATTTTCCCAATATGAGGATTTATCTGAGGATGCTCTTTTGACCTTCCGGGAGATGCAGCGTATTGGTTTTTGTCCGGATGATTGTAGTTTTGTGTGCGTAATTAGTGCATGCTCCAATTTGTCGTCTCCCTCTGTGGGTAAACAGGTTCATGCATTGGCAATCAAATCTGACATCCCATGTAATCGCCTTTCAGTTAACAATGCCCTTGTTGCAATGTACTCCAAATGTGGGAATCTTCATGATGCGAAAAGGATATTTGATACAATGCCGGAACATAACACGGTATCGCTGAATTCAATGATTGCTGGTTATGCACAGCATGGTGTTGAGGTTGAATCGCTCCGGCTCTTTGAACTAATGCTGAGAGAGCAAATAGTACCAAATAACATAACCTTCATATCTATTCTTTCTGCATGTGTACACACTGGAATTGTCGAGGAGGGTGATAAGTATTTTAATATGATGAAAGAAAAGTTTGGGATTGAACCAGAAGCAGAACATTACTCATGCATGATAGATCTTTTGGGTAGGGCAGGGAAACTCAAGGAGGCTGAGAGGATTATCGAGACAATGCCATTTAATCCTGGTTCTATTGAATGGGCTACTTTGCTTGGTGCATGTAGGAAGCATGGAAATGTGGAGCTAGCAGTGAAAGCAGCCAGTAAGTTTCTCGAACTGGAACCGTGTAATGCAGCTCCGTATGTAATGCTTTCAAATATGTATGCAAGTGACGGTAGATGGGAAGAGGCAGCAAGATTGAAACGGCTGATGCGTGAAAGAGGAGTGAAGAAGAAACCAGGTTGTAGTTGGATCGAGATAGATAAGAAGGTGCATGTCTTTGTAGCTGAAGATACTTCACATCCAAGGATAAAAGAGATTCACAAGTACATGGGGGAGTTATTAAGGAAATTGAAGCAAGCAGGGTATGTAGCAGATATAAGATTGGCATTGGTGAAAGATGAAGAGGTAGAAGCAGAAGAGAAAGAAAGAAGGTTATGGCATCACAGTGAGAAGTTGGCAATTGCTTTTGGTCTGATCTCCACTGAAGAAGGTGCACCAATACTTGTTGTGAAAAACCTAAGAATCTGCAGTGATTGCCACAATGCTATCAAACTTATATCAGTCATTTCTGGTAGGGAAATCACTGTTAGAGATACTCATCGGTTTCATTGCTTTAAGGAAGGGCAGTGTTCATGCAGGGATTATTGGTGATAATATAATCAAATGTACTACTATGGTGAGAAAATAAATTATGCAAGAACATTAGTTACATACCTAGTAAGCAGTTAAAGCTAATGACCAACATAGTTTTTTTGTTTATCCACATGATTTTATCAATACTAAATTACCAATTCTTAGTTTTCAGTGGAGCAGAACTCTACTGACAATTTTAGTTTGAAATTAACTTATCTTTAATATATCATCAACTACCTACCCATTAATGAAAATGCCACCAAACTCCCTATTTTACCCTTCAATTGATTTTTACTTAATACTAAACCATGCCCTTTTGAGTAATTTACTAAATACAAAAATATTGACCAATAGTATGGTCCAATTTTGCCAAGTGGCAGAATTTTTTTGAAAACTCTTGTCTTCCCTCTTTCCAATTTTCTTCATCTCTCTTTCCCAGTTACTCTTTCTTTCTCTTTCCACAGTTCTTCCATTTTCTCTCTACCCCTTTCTCTTTTCCTATCAAACCCTAGCGGGTTCATCACTCTCATTGGTGCTACACGACCATCTCGATCGCAAAAGGTATGTTTTTCCCCTCTTCTATTGTTTTTTCTTTCATGTCCTCTTCTTCTTGTATTCATAGTAGATTTTGTTGAAAAAAAATTTGTTATGTTCTTTGATTTTTGTAGTGTTTCATTGAAATAAGTGGCTTAGAAGGAATGGTTACACGATTGTGGAATTTGTTAGATGGTGGTGAGTTACCATTTGTGATTTTTTATGTATTTTATTTTATTTTTCCTTCCCATTGCTGAAACTATTTACTGCTTTGTTCTGTTGGCTGGTTCTTTGCTCTAGGTTGCTGAGGGCAAGAATCCACTTGTTCCATCTAAAGGGTATAGAAACGAAATCATCATGTTCTACTAATAACAATTGTTATGACATTCGAGGAACTTATGTCATTATTGCTTATGCAGAGAGGAGATATCGAAGTACAAGGAGCTTGATCCATTGGATCGTTTACTACTGCTAAAAGCCATTTGTGAAGTTAGAGCTGATGTATAGTGACCTCCCTTTTAGTTTATTCAAATATTTTGTTTCTTTAATTAATGCAATAGTATTTGTATACTCTCTGTTCTTTGACTAGATGTTCCCAGTCTCCCTTTATCCCTTTTGAATTTTGATGTTTCAATTTTTCACGAGACTGATTATTTTGATGGTTTGTTTGTTAATGTTCAGCAACATGATGTGGTATCATATATTAATGATTCTCTAAAAGAAGGAGCTGAAATTTCTTCTTTTCGTAAAAATGCCCTTGGAAGAGATGGAACTGGCGCAACCTATTGGTAATTATTTGAATATGTTCCGATATCTTCATGATTATTATCATAGAATCCCCTCACTGTCAATCTGTCTGACTATGTTTATCTTAGGTACGATGCGAATACCAAAGCAGAGTCACAGATTGTACAGGGAAACAATCACATCAGCCTCAACTCCAAACCGTAAAGTCAAAGGCTGTTTATCACTTCCCAACTTTCAATGGGAAACACTTGCCTCCAATCTTGAAGAACCTTGTCTTCCTTGATTTACCCATATTTGAAACCTTAATTAACTGTCTTTGAATGTTATTTGCAGGAAAATTTATCATCTAGCAAGTCTCATGTGGAAGTTTTTATTGGCAAGAAGCTTCAGAGTGAAGCTATTCCTGTTCTTGAGAAAATTCAAAAGGTATATACATCCTATTGATTATTGCTAGATATGTGTCTGTTTTATAGAGAAAACCCTTTATTTGTTTTCGATATTTACATAATGTGATGTTACTTTCAAATTATGCAGAAGAAAGAAAAAGCAATGAAACAAAAAGAGAGACAGGATAAGCTCTTAAAAGATTTTCACAACTCTTATTCTTCTGGAAATGCACGCCTTTGTCGCACTCGAAGGCCTGTTAATTACAGTTTTGGTAAGATGTGTGCTACATGTTCAATTTTGTTGCATATGCCTATTGTATTCCAACACCTACACATTCCAATGCACATGACAGTGTTCTCCTGCACATTAACAGAGTTAAATTTACTGTACTATGTTGTTTGTGTATTAGTTGCATTGTTAGGAGTATAACTTATAAGTCAGTACTATAAATTAAGATGATGAGAATGTTTGAGCATGTGTGAGGTGCCTTTCATTTGGCATTATGATGCATAAGGATTGAATTGTGATTAGATATTTCCTTTGTTTGTATGTATTTTATCTGATAAAATAAATTCAACCTTGCTTTCATTGATTTTTTTACTGTATCAGTTTAGTCTTGGTAATTAATGTGCGGCGTTTAGTGTTTACATAAGAAATCTTAAGTACTAAATGGTTATTTCAATTCAAAATGTTCAATTGTTTAGAAATATTTTCTCATTAATGCCAATCAGAATATGTCCAAATTAGATTTAGGTATTTAACACTGAATTGACACAATGGGTGTAACCGTGTAAGTACCACATTTGGTTTGATGCTACTCTCAACTAATCAATCAATTGAATACAATCTATTTTGATTTCTTTCTTCTTCTCTCGGGCTCGGCCTCTTTCTGACATCAGTTGGGTTTTGACATTAATCAAGTTCTCTTTGGGAAATATTGCAGAAGCATATGATTATGTTATCGTTCCTTTCAATGGAAGTGGTTTTTGACGGTTTGACCCACGACTCTATAAGTTTTTTCCCTCACCAATCACCAATAATGTTGCCTTTCACTTTGATTTCAATCTAACATTTCTATAGGATAATTGCTTATTCATTCATTTATGCTCATAATCAACAATATTAGTTTCTTCTGATAAATGATACTTTCTTATTTTTCTGAAGAAGCGTATGATTTTCATTGTAAGCGACAGATGGACAATGCAAATGTTGCTAACTTTGTGTAATGTTGCAGCCATCTGCTAGAAAGCAGCATAACTCCGGTTATAAACACAAGGTGCTGCGAAGTTTTGTCACTTTTGAAAATTATACTGCATTGCAATCTTGGTTATATTTGTGAGATTTGTTTGATGTGTTTTGTGTTTTCAGGCTCATGTGAGGTCTTACTATCAGCAATTTGAAGAGCAACAAACCCAAAGTTTAATTGATCAGCGGATCAAAGAACATCTCGGGCAAGCTGCCGCGTTTCAGCAGGTTGGTGGGGCTTATAATCATCTGATGGGTCAGAGGCCGAACCTTCCTCCTGTATTGCCGCCCCCGAGATTTCCCATTCCTGGAGGTCAACCATTAATGCCAGGGTTCAGACCTCTCATGCCTAGGCCACTACCTATTCCTGGGGCACCAGGTGAATGTTTTGTTTTCCCATCTGCACCATTTGCAATTTACACAAAACTGTCGTTGCCTCTTATTCAAGCATTTTATTGTTCTTGTCTTCCGCGTTTTAGATGTGGTCAAATTTTTGTGCATTGTTTCTTTTTCCTCTAACTATGGATGCAGGATCTTTGAGTTCCCCAGCAATCAAGTCCCGATCACGCTGTCCTCTTCAAGAACAATTTCTTCAGAGAAAAAGTTCCCGAGAGAATGTAAGGAACATTTTTCTATTTTGCAAATCTTTTAAAGGAAGTTATTCATGTCATCAATTGTAGTTGTTGTTTTATGTTGAATAATATTTTATGAAGTATATATCATATGGCTTACTTAAATTTTCTGTTTGGATGTATTAGGTTCTAAAAATGGTGACAGATGTAGTTGACAAAAATATTGTTGCAGTATCTTTGCTATCTTTTGTTGCTATCCCCATTGAAATTACTGGAGAGGTAAATCTTTCTTATATAATTTGTTGCTGATAATATAAAATGAATGAACAACAAGACATACTTTCTTTAGCTTGGTGTCTTTTTTATTAACGGCAGATGGTATTTCTCCATCCTGTTCACAATTGATGATATATCTATTTTGCTACAATTGTTGGTAAATGGAATGTTTCATTCTGTCTTAACTCTTTTTATTCACTATTTTAGTTAAAGGTGAGAATTGTAGTAACAGGGTGGAGATTCTCTGATGGTTCTCATATCTTGACCAACCTCGACGCCAATCCTCAGAAATCACTAAAGGGATCATCAAATCTTCTTTCAAAAACTGTAAGGAAACTTAAGATAACTGTAGTCGAAGCAAAGGATCTAGCGGCGAGTGACATATTTGGAAAATTTGACCCTTATGTTAAGTATCAGTATGGAAAGGTGAGAGGTACTGGCTCTTTTAGCTTTGATCGTACAAGTGCAATGGTCGGGTCATTGATACATTGGGATTTCTACCTTCGTGGTCAGACCAGCACCACAATGTGAAGATTCTCCACTCTGTCAAACACTTTATTAAGAAAACACCACCAGATATTGTGTTACATCTTGATAGGTTAGATATGCAGAGCCAGGATTTCGGTGATATGTCGGTCTTACGCACGATAATTGACATTTTTGGACCACCCAAATGGTTCAATGCTATTGTGGTTTAGAATCATGCAGCGCCTGCTCCACCTGATGGACCTAATGGTACTCCTTCCAATTATTACATGTTTGTTACACAGCACACCCATGTTGTGCAGCAAGGCATTCGCCAAGATATGCGTCTCATGTTATGAAGCAAGCCTTGGGGTGGTTTGGAATTTTACCAATATAATGGTAATTACGTGGAACATCGGTATAATTTCAAATAATTTTTCCTTGCCTGGTGTTTCTCCTTGGGGTGAGTATTTTGATTAAATTCGGAGAGGGCAATGTCGAAGAGAAAGCTAAGTATGATTCAACTCGATAATTATTGTTACTTTCATAGAGTTTCTGGTGCTTTTCGTTCTGGTATTTCATATCTTCGGTTACATTTCATTATGTTCTTATTCTTTTGGCTAAGTTCATTTTTTTCTTTGTTCAGGACATGCAAATGAATTTGATGGTTTCAATGTTAAAGACTAAGGTATCTTCAATTATCTCCATGTATTTTATATTAGGTTAAAGTTATACCGATTAAGTGACTGGCACATTTCTTATATGACATGGTTTATTTTTATTCTTGATAAAGGACATAATGAGGCAATGATGTTGTTTTCAGCTTTTATAGATCAAACAGGTGGTTAAAGAGCCTTAGTATTGGCAAGGTGTTGTAGTATCTGTGTGAAAAATACTTTTGATGTTTTACTCTACAGATACTTATTATGCAGCTACTTATACATTTTATCTCATCTTATGGCAGTAATTCTTTTTAAAACTACTTGGTTTTTGTATATAAAAAAAAATTGTTATCTCTAATTTTAATTCTACAAGAGTAAAATAGTTGAATGGTAATTGAATAATGTTATATTTTTACCTTCTTCTGAATTCTTTGTGCAGCTGTACTTTAATTGTCACAGTAAGCTACAAGAGTTGTGCACTGAATTTTTAATTCAGAAATAAGAGACTGAATTCCAATGAGTTCTATAGCCATGAGAGCAAGACTACGAAACTCTTCTTTGCACAAAAATGAATTTCATTATTTTAATAATTTGTATCACATAATGTGTTTTAATAATTTTTCAGTTCTCCAAGCAAGTGGCACACTTTTTCTGCATTAAATATACTTTTATTTTGTGATACCTGCTTCATGGATTTCCCCTGATATATTATATTTATTCAGTATAGATAATTTCACAAACTTTATTTTTTTGTCTTTCCTTACTCAATCTGATATAATTATTTTCTTACAGGTGAGTCACCTTATGAAAACATTGGGTACATTATCTGGCTACCTTTTCGAATGCAACTACGTGCCGTTATCTGATTCTGAACACGACAACTGTTTAATGACTCCTGACTCGGTTCTCGAACCGGCCGGTTTGAACCAGACTTCATCTGGTTCAGGAGGATATGGTGGTATGGATTGTAGAACCACTCTTGCTTGCACTGCAACTACTGAGATAATTAGAAAGAAGAGAAGTGGTTGTTCAGCTTTTCGACCACCGTGTCGGCCAGCATGCTCGTCGGTAATGGAAATCACGGTGAATCTGATGAGAAAAACTTTGATATTTTGATTTTTATGATTATTATTAAATATGAAAAATTGATATGCAGACTGTTTTAATTTTCATTGCATTGGGTGATTATTTTGTCACATAAACCTATTTTTTTAGCTTCTTTGATCCGATTTTCTTAAGGGATCAATAATTTTGATCAATTTACTTCAAAATATAATGATGAAAAGTCATGTACTAGAGACATCAAATTTTGCTATTATGGCTTTTTACAGTTCAACAAGATTGGAAAATAGTAAATTTTATTGTAGCATTTGGTAATTTATTCCATGTGATTTATATCTTTTACTCAGTTTGTTTGTTTAATCGAATGCTATATAGACCTCAAGGGAATAATGTTGAAACTGAGAAGATAAGAAAACAATAGAGGAGCTTACATCTTTCACGGAAGCCAAAGCAAAACTTTGTGAAATTCTTCTTCTTTTGGTATGCTATTTGTTTTTTACTTTATTAGGTTTTATCTGCTATTTTTTAACCCCAGGATTGTTCTTTATTGTAGACAAGGTTACATTTTACTTACAAGATTTTTTTTAGTATTAATGAAATATAACTTATAATAGATTGTATAAAAACGCGAACTTCATTTATAATAATTATGATTTAGAAATGCATCCAAAGTTAAAAAGGTCAAATCTTGGTTAAGTTGCAAAAACTTAACAATTAAATTTCTGCTTTTTACTATTATTGGTGCTGTAACATTTAGTGTGGAACAAAAGATTAATATGATTTTGAAGTGGTGGATGTAAAATATGTAAGAATCAATTTATCAGAGCATATTTATGATATTATGATTTATGATCTATTCTAGGTTTCTCTGAGTTTTTCTGTTTATAGTTTTATTTTGGTGGGAGAGTGCTCAAGTATCATTACTCATTGATAGATTATTTATTATTTATTATAGAGACCTTGAACATATTGAAATAGCCACAATAATGGATATATTTGTAAGAAATAAAACATGGATTCAAGATAACAAATACAGAATCTAAGAAATAAGGAGTACCTTTGAAAATAGTTTACATTTTTATAGATTTTGAATGCCTTTGATTTTGGGTTTAGAATTGAATATTATTGTGGATTCTTCTAATACAACTTTATTTGCATCACAAAGGACTTTAAAGGATTGTATACTATCATTCATGTGTTATGTGATGGTTTATCTACTATCTCAATCTAAACTATACTATCATCACATTTAATGATATTTTAACATATCTTTGTGACAATGTAGGATAATGTCAAGAGTATGGTTAGAAAGTTTTTTAAATATACCATGAACATATCACAAAGGACTTTTTTTTTTTTTTTTTTTAATAATTTTTTCTTCTTTTTATCACTGCATTAGAAAATAATGGATCATTTTTAAATTATCCAAAAAAAATATGATATTTATGATTTGCTTAAATGTCTCTTTGTTTTTGGAATGACGTCTCTAGATAAAATTGTGAACTGAAAGTGTTATATATAGTTATCATATCATACTTATTTATGTTGTATAGATTGTTATTGAGATTGATCTCTAATCTTGTCATCTATAAGACTCACATTCACAAACAAAATTATAGTTTGTATCAGATAATGTTAAATATGGTCTTTAGAGTTTTTATTTTTATTTTTATAATGTCAATTCTAAGGCCATGAATGATATTAAGAGTTGAAACCGTTTTTTTTTGTTGCCATATAGAATATTGAAAAAATAGTAAAATTACTGAGATAATATTGAATATTAAGGGTAACATGAAGTTACCGATCAAAATATTGAATATTAACGGAAACATGAAGTTATTGAACAAAATGTAAAATATTAACAATAACATGAAGTAACTAATCAAAATATTGAATATTAACGGGAACATGAAGTTACTAATAAAATTTTTGAATATTAATGGGAACATAAGTTACTGATCAAAATTTTGAATATTAATATTTAATATTAACAAGAACGTGAAGTTACTGATCAAAATATTTAATATTAACAGGAACATAAAGTTATTGATTAAGATGTTGAGTATTAACGGGAACATGAGGTTACTGATCAAAATATTAAATATTAATGGAAATATGAAGTTATTGATTAAAATATTGAATATTAACGGGAACTTGAAATTAATGATCAATATATTGAATATTAACGGGAACATGAAGTTACTAATCAAAATAATATTTTTAAACAAGTGTGCATAACACACCGGGATCCGTGCAAACGCACAGGTATTCTTATGACATTTAATATATTCACTATTATGAAGTTATTATGAAATTTAAGAATGAATTTACCCGTGCAGAAGCACGAGTCTACTAATAGTTTTTCTATATAATTAATATATTTTTTTAATATTTAAACAATAATAATCATGTATTTTTTCGTATTTGATCAACAATAAAAAACATTTAATAAATTGTAGCAAAAAATTATCATTAATTTCTAGTTACAATCATTGCAGTCAATATTTTATATTTTAAAATCAGTCACAAAAACAAAAAAACAAAGTAAAAAATATCATTTTAAATCTGTTATGAATCAGATATCTTTAAACAAAGTATAAACAGTTTCTTAATGATCAAGAAACTCACAAAGGTTAGGGTTAACAAAGAAAACAAGGTAAAACAACAAGGATTTGTTATTAAACTGCTATTCTTTCCTTTCTCTTAGAACAAGATTACAAGTATACAAGAATAACAAAATAACCTCTCTCCCTTGAAATTAGGATTTTATCTTCCTATTTTTCCTTATGCCAAGATTGAGAAACTAGCATCCTATTTATAATAAAATAGCACACTAACCTAATAGACTTTTTAACAATTACCCATTACAAGCTAACTTAGAGTACAAGCTAACTTAAACAATTGGGCTTACAAGCAAGGCCCAATTCAACATGCTAACAACCCTAGCAATATTGACTAATGCATGTTAGAACAAACTTCAACTACAACACGCATTACTTGCGAACAGACTTCGACAACACTAGAGTTCGATCCAACATCTCACAAATCTCCACCTTGGATCTAACTCTATAACATCAAGAAACTAGTTTTCTTCATGCAGCTTTATTAACTGCATACAGTGGAAAAACTTGCAACTGGGCAACGTCTTTTCTTTTACCGTTAACGCAGCGTCCATGGCTGCCTCACCCTTTAACGCTTCCAAACAACCCTGCTGAACCAATAGGACTTTCATCTTCAAGCGCCACAGACCGAAGTCATTCATTCCGGTGAACTTTTCAATCTCATACTTTGTTGAAGGCATCTTCTCCACGCTCACCGCACCAATTTGTTGTGAATCAGATACCTTTAAACAAAGTATAAACGATTTCTTAATGATCAAGAAACTCACAAGGGTTAGGGTTAACAAAGAAAACAAAGTAAAATAATAAGGAACAACAAGGATTGGTTATTAAACTGCTATTCTTTCATTTCTCTTAGAACAAGATTACAAGTATACAAGAATAACAAAATAACCTCTCTCCCTTGAAAATTAGGATTTTATCTTCCCATTTTTCCTTATGTCAAGATTGAGAAACTAACCTCCTATTTATAATAAAATAGCACACTAACCTAATGGGTTTTTTAACAATTACCCATTACAAACTAACTTAGAGTACATGCTAACTTAAACAATTGAGCTTACAAGCAATGCCCAATTCAACATGCTAACAACCCTAGCAATATTGACTAATGCATGTTAGAACAAACTTCGACTACAACACGCATTACTTGCGAACAAACTTCGACTACACTAGAGTTCGATCCAACATCTCACAAAATCATTCATGCTTTGGATATCATTCTATCACAAACATGCATTTAAAAGATTTAATTTCTCTATTCTTTCACAATTATAATTTAATTATCATTTAAAATATACTTATTTTTCTTAATTATAAATTATTGCATATTTAATACTTTTATGATAATTAAAAACATGTTTATTAATTATTTAATAATTCTCTTATTTGCAATATATAAATATTAATTATAAATAGGCAATAAAAATATACTTTTTTTAATAGTTTCTATATAATTAATATATTGTGATAAAATTAACATTTACAATTATTAGTTATACAATTCAATACATAATCTAGTATCAAAGTTGTATGATAATATGAAATATTTTTAATTATTTAATGATAAAAAATCAAATTAATATATTTTAGGAATAATACATATTAAACTCATAATAAAAAAATAAGACACAAATAATATTTACTTACGAAAAATTTTATTGTTTATCCAAATATATATATATATATATATATATATATATATATATATATATATATATATATATATATATATATATATATATATATATATATATATATATATATATATATATATATATATATATATATATATATATATATATATATATATATATATATATATATATATATATATATATATATATATATATATATATATATATATATATATATATATATTGAATCAATAACTTTGATTAACTAAAAAACAATAACTATAAGCGATCCTGTGGATCGCCCACTAAAAATCAAGAAGACAAAGAAAATAAAATTGATAACACAAAACTAATCCAACATTAGAGTTTTTCTAATTTTCAAATTATTCCATCCCTTATAATTTATAATTCTTTTACTTATATGTTTGTTATTATCACTTTTCTCAAAATTTTGTAATTTCTAAAGTTCTACAACTCATAGATGAAAAAATATTTTCGTACAAGTAAAAATTATATTTATGATCTAATTATAAATAAAAATATTTCTTTTTTTTTTTAAATAATAAATTCGTTTGATTAAGCAATTTTACTTTTTTTCTTTTTATTTTTACTACTATACAAGTACCCGTGCATTGCCACAAATTTAAAGAGATTATGTGAGCGGAAAAAATAAAATTGCTAATTAAAATATCAAATAATAGAAATTTATCAATTAGTATATAAGTACTGAAATATATTATTGATCCAAATATTTTTAAATGATCTTATTTAAATAAAAATAATTTTAGAAAAATAAAAATAGTATCAAAACATAAAATAATATTTACATACAAAAGAAAAATACTGTTAATTCAAATATTTTTATATAAAAGAGATGACGATGACGAAACAGGGACGCGGGCGGCCGAAATCCACGGTTCCACCATCACCGGAGACTCTTACCAACTCTAATACACCAAAGGCTGTTTCAGGAGTCACCACTACGATGAGCGAAGCTGGGAAAAGTACTGAGAAGATAAACGAGAAAGTGCCCACTGAAACCCTAATAGAACAGACACAGGTGAAGCCGGAAGAACGGAAACTCTGGGTTGACGTTATTAGTGATAATCGGGACCCTACTAAGGGATTGTCTATGGAATACGTTGCACCAAAGGTAATTAATGGAGTGATTGAAATTGATATTGAACAGGAAGACATTGAAACAGAATTACGATTCTGGGATAATGCTCTCATACTGTATGTTGTGGGAGATGATTTGAGCCTGAACACGGTGAAGAATTTTATGCAAAGACTGTGGAATTTCATCAAGATGCCGGATCTTTGCTACCACGATGACGGGTATTTTTTGCTCAGATTTAACTCGCACGAAGACAAGGAAGCTGTCATGATGAAATGCCCCTACACAATTAGAAATATGCCCATGATACTGAAAGAATGGCAATCTGGTTTCAACTTAAAGCAGAACCTACTCATAACACTACCAATATGGATCAAACTGCCTCAACTCCCCTTGCATCTTTGGGGAGCAAAAAGCCTTATCAAGATTGGAAGTGCCATTGGCAAACCATTGGTGACTGATGAATGCACAGTGAACAAATTGCGTGTTTCGTATGCTAGAATATTGATTGAAGTAGATATTACACAACCATTGATTGATGAAATCACCATAAGGAATGTTGCAGGAGATATCATAATGCAGCCAGTACAATATGAATGGAGGCCCACCTTCTGTGAAACATGTCAAAAACTGGGACATAACTGTGAAGACAGAGGCAAGGTTAAAAAATGGATACCAAAACCCATACAAAAGGAAAAACTCACAATCATAACACTGACACAACAACCAATATGGGAGAAACCAACGGATGAAGAAGGAGTATCTTGGACAAGGGTGAAGAAATCTGTACGAGATAAAGGAAAAAACATAATGTCTGATACAGCTAGCATCATACACTGTGTTAATGGTTTTGAATCACTAGAGGTATTGAATGATCACCAGGTGGTCACAAACCTTGAACCATGTTAGTCTCATGGAACATAAGGGGACTCAATAAAGTAGTCAAAATGCATGAGATTAAGTCCCGTCTCCAAGATCTAAAGCCTGCAATAATCATTTTGATTGAAACAAGAGTTAAAGAACCAAAAGCAAAGGCCATTCGAGAAAAATTGATGTTGTATGAGAATCACATGGACAACTATAAAGACCACACAAATGGGAGGATATGGATTCATTGGGACAGAAACAGGATGGATATGAGATTTCTACATAGTACCAGCCAATTGATCCACTGTGGTGTATATGATAACAGTGGAACACTCAAACACTAGTTGACTGCTGTTTATGCACATAACCAATTACACAAAAGAAGAATCCTATGGAAGGAAATTGAGCACCTGTCTAGCCACATCTGAGGTCCCTAGTGTATCATTGGTGATTACAATAATGTGCTCAAAGCCCAAGACAGAATGGGGGTGAATTTCTGGCTATGCAGATCACATGTGTTCCAAGAACATTGATCTCTGCTCAACAAGGATGAGGGCAGACCATGGCCAATTTAAATTTCACTAAACTGCCCTAATGTCATGACCAATGTTACGACTTCTGTTGTGACATCTGCAGTCTGTCATACTATTTATCTAACCATTTAAAGTACAGAATTGTAAATGCAGAAAGATAAATAACACAGTAATTGTTCACCCAGTTCGGTATCAACAACACCTACATCTGGGGGATACCAAGCCAGGGAGGAAATTCACTATTAGTAGAATCAATTCAAAGCCAAACCTCCAATTTGCACTTCTCACTTAATCTCTACCCAATGACACTTCGGCCTAGAGACACTCTAGTACCTGAGTATACCCACTCACTCCCCCTCAATCACTCAACAGTGATATCAAACAAAAAACAGTATGAAGAGACACTTCATACAAACCTTGATCTTGCTTCTCAGCTTTGATCAAGGAACTCACACACTCTTGCTTCACAGCTTCGAGTGAGACACAACCTAGAATCTACCTAACCAAAACAATCATTCACCAGATAATTGCTTGGATTACAAGTATTCCTAAACAGACTTTGCACGTGAAGAACAACCCTCTTCACTTACAATTATGTCTACCACAATGCATCATACAATGCAAAGGGTGACTTACACACAAGGGACTCTCAACCCTAGACCTCTATTTTACACTCTGATTTTTCTTGATGTGAGTGCTTTCTTTTTTTCTGCTTCTGCTCCTCTTTTTATAGTCGTGCATACTGTGCTTGGGCTGTGCAGAAGTAACAAATATTAGTTTTAATAAATCAAAACTAATTTCCACAATTCAAGGTGCTGTCCAATTAGGTCATGGCATGGTCAGCATTGCCTTGAATCTCTCCTGAGAGAGCTCAGAAGTCATAACATGTTTCCTGATATTTAGCCTAATATAAATCAGGTATCATAACAGAAAAACAAACTCAGCCCGTCTGATGTCATACGATCCATGTCATGACATTCAGTATCACATTCAACTTTTGCTCACTCTTAGCTGCCTAGCTTGCTCTGCTGCACACTCTTGTTGAATCTTCTTCATGACAATCATGGTTTCTCCAATCTTCTGCAGGATAATATTAGAAACAAGTATATTCAAGTTTCCTAAAAGGTCTCCAAGATCCTTTTATGAACACCAATACAATCTGTTCTTGTTCCTACTGCATCTCCTTGACATATTTACCGATGAGGTATTTTCAACATGATCTCATCAATCCAAACCAGTTATGTCAAGAGATATGCACTGGAAGCTCCTTCTGTTGTCATGCAATTATGTCTTGCTTAAAACACATGACAACACGCCACAACTCACACTGTTATGGCTGTACACCTCACACTGCTTGTGAGGAACTTCATCACAACTTACCCTGTTGTGGTTGCACACATCACACTGCCTGTGAGTAGCAGTGCCTGTTGTGCCAGACAGCTATGTCATTACTTTGGTAATGACATCCATGACAATTTTCCTTTCTTCAGCCTCTGCTGGCTCTTGCTTGTTGTTGCAGTGCCTGTTGTGCCAGACAGCTATGAGACATCTATGTCATTACTTTGGTAATGACATCCATGAAAACTGTCCTTTCTTCAGCCTCTGCTGGCTCTTGCTTGCTGTTGCTGCACTCGACCTTGATGTACCTGTCCTTTCTCCAGCTCCTGCTTGCCCCTTTAGTGATGTCATAACTATGGTAATGACATCCTGTTTAACCTTAGTGCAGAATCTTGTTTTACCACAATTTAGCCAATCATAGAACCATGGACAATTCTATATCATAGAACTATGGAACTAACAAACTCCCCCTTTGGCAAATTTTGGCTAAAACAGCTTATCAGGACATTCAGCAGTAGTTTACACAAACTATCATGCTCCCCCTTGATAGTTGCATCCACATGCTAGCAACAATGCTTTTCCTCATCATCAGCAACAATAGTTTTTCTTTTCTCCCCCTTGGTTTAGCCAAAACTTTGACAATAAATGGAGCACTTGTACATACATATGCTTAACACAGACTATACATGCAGTCATCTCACCATCTCCCAAGGAATACGCAAGCTGCTTGACCTTTAATAAGGATTGTACCACTTCAGCAGCTACACACCAGACAAGTACACATCTTCCCCTGTTAGCATTAACATTGCTCCCCCTGAACGAGAGAACCCAAACACATGAATAATTACTTCATCATCTTCACACAGGCAGCTTTACACCCTTTGATTCACACCCCATACTGGAGCAAATAGCATAGGTAGTTGCAGGATTCCTATCTAGAAGCTTTCTCAGAATTCAGCTTTGACAGAGAATCTCCAAGATGTCATAGTGACAATCCTTCCATGTGCACAAGATCAAGGCTACTGATGTCTTGATCTTTACCTTCACCAGTTATTTGGATAGAGGCCCAAATACCTGACTTGGTTCATTGTCACCTAATGACAGGCCCAACATGACTGCCCTGTCATCTTCACCATGAGCTTGGTGCAGTACCCCAATGTCACACCCTTTTGTCTGACATTCTGCCTTCCTCAAGTCCTAGATTTGTTTGAAACCACAAACAATCTTGACACATAACTGCACTCTTGCAGCAACAGATCCTAGATAGAAGTATAATTCTCCTATATCAATGGTAACCAATGCACATGAATGGAAAACATAAGACACATCTTCATGTCTTCAAGAACTCATTCTCTGTTCGACCCACATGTTGAATGCATTCACATACACCATGCTTGAATCACAAGCACTTAGTACTCCCATCAAACAGAAGCTCTCCCCCTATCTTTGATAACAGCTGCTCCAAGGTCACCACATTATCTCTCATGACCAACTCTATGCTTATACAGAGAGAAGGCACCAAACTGATTCACCTCTTTCTAGAGTTACTTGTAGCATAAGAGACCACTTCTCCACAAGTATTCTGGTCTTAGGCTGAGTACAAGATAGACACCACATATGGACTTTACCACATCAGAATGCACTCAATACCTTCACATCATAATCCAAGATAATCCTTTTACCTTATCATTCTCCCGTATGACAAGATAGAGTACTTCTTAGCCAAGAAGTGAATCACAAGTTCCACAAGAGATCTTCACATATCAGATGGTTCATGTTTACAGACACACCATCCCATGGTTCTTTATGTGCCCATACTGGACTTACTGCTTCCTAGTAGTCCAACTGAAGATCTTCACAGCTCCACCAGCTTGATCAACTCCATCTCCACAAGAAGGTAATTTTCTATACACAACTAAGGGCTTCTACCACCAACTCCAATATATGAACAGAACCAGATCCTCCTTCAACCAATTACCCTTTTGCACAAGAGTAATTTGTTCCAAGCATGAACAGTCCCAGAACCTTCTGTGGTCTTCAAATAACTACCATTCTGCACAAGAATAGCTCTCTAACGGCACACTACTTAAATAACCAAATGCCACTGTTTGGTGATTCATCATTTTTCAGAGCTCTAGAAGGTCTGCTAATCCACCAGGCCACTTTGATCTTCACATTCTTCTTGCTCCAAACAAAGGTATCTACTCCTTCACACAGCTCCCGCAAACTGCATGATATGAAGCATTAATTCCATTTATACCTGAGAAGATCAACTTATCTTCAAATGATGTGCCACACCATCACTTGAGGCCTTGAAGTTTCTGCTTGATGTCATAACTTTGGTTAAGACATTCAGTTAGAGAGTTCAGGCTTTCATTCTGCCACTTAGAAGATTCTCTTTACTCAATTAGACCAAGAGTACATAGGCTTGATATCCAGTTGGAGTAGACAACCTCAATCCTGCTTTGTTGTACCACAACAATTACCTTGAAGTGCATTTTCTTCATGAAAATCCTATTTATAGAAACCAAACATGCCAAGGCTTGATTCTTTTAGGGAGGAAGGATCACCCAAGTCTTTACAAAAGGATTCCCGCTTTCCTTAAGTATGGACTTCTTCAGAAAATCAAAGAAAACTGCCACTTATCCTTGACCTCCAAGCTGAGCAAGGTCATATGCTCCTATGCACTTAGATCAGAAATAAGCTGACCTAAGCAGTGCTATCACCACCACCATCTTCTAGACAAGTTTCTTGCCAGGAAACTTTCTAGCTAATAGATCAGGTGCTTCTAGTAGAAACTAGAACACAACTGTTGCACTTTAATACTCTTATAGAGCAGATTGTCTTCATCTTCACTCCCATCAGCACACCATTCTAGCCTTAGTTTCTTGCAAAGAACCTTACTAGAATGAGTACAACTCCAACTATATCTCTTTTGATCTATGGATCAACAGAATTCTGCCCACTCTCTGCATCACACCCAAGCATATCAGGGCCTGATACTTGTGCAACCACTGATGAGACAACTTGATCATCAACTAAGGATAATCCATTAAATATTTAAGAATATCTCAAATAGCAATGAATCTTAAATCCTTGTAACAGATCCTTCTCTGATCTTTATGGAATACCAAGGCTGAAGCACCCTTGACTTAACCTGCCTATGTTTTCTTCTCCAGATAGAATCCTTACAAGTCATGAGTGGTGAAAATAAATCACCTCCCACTATCTTCTCTCCATAGCTTCCAGCAGACTGAGAGCACAACAGAATAGTCCAGGCACACAACCAACCACAGCTGCAGGCACCATCTTCTAATCATCTACACAACTGCCATAGTCATGCATCAAACAAAATATAGGCCAATCTTCTTCCAGGGGCATCAGAGTTCTTTTATCATAGAAATATGCAGCGGAACCACCAAAAGAACATGCCCTACATAAGATGTCTGATCATCCAACAGGCCATAGGATAGAAGTAGCCATTCTTCCTTTGGCATAACATACAATTGGTCATAAAGCTCCTATATAAGAGGGCACAACATCAATTACAAGCTTCTCTTTAGCTCCATAAGCAGTAGCTCAACCATTCAGCAAGATCAGCAACTCAGCTACAACTTCTCCTTGTTCAAGACACCAGAAAGTATCTCCCAAGATCTCATCCAGAACAGACAAGATGCCTGCTCTGATACCAATTGAAATTCTGGCTATGCAGATCACATGTGTTCCAAGAACATTGATCTCTGCTCAACAAGGATGAGGACAGACCATGGCCAATTTAAATTTCACTAAACTGCCCCAATGTCATGACCAATGTTACGAATTCTGTTGTGACATCTGCAGTCTGTCATACTATTTATCTAACCATTTAAAGTACAGAATTGTAAATGCAGAAAGATAAATAACACAGTAATTGTTCACCCAGTTCGGTATCAACAACACCTACATCTGGGGGCTACAAAGCCAGGGAGGAAATTCACTATTAGTAGAATCAATTCAAAGCCAAACCTCCAATTTGCACTTCTCACTTAATCTCTACCCAATGACACTTCGGCCTAGAGACACTCTAGTACCTGAGTATACCCACTCACTCCCCCTCAATCACTCAACAGTGATATCAAACAAAAAACAGTATGAAGAAACACTTCATACACACCTTGATCTTGCTTCTCAGCTTTGATCAAGGAACTCACACACTCTTGCTTCACAGCTTCGAGTGAGACACAACCTAGAATCTACCTAACCAAAATAATCATCCACCAGATAATTGCTTGGATTACAAGTATTCCTAAGCAGACTTTGCACGTGAAGAACAACCCTCTTCACTTACAATTATGTCCACCACAATGCATCATACAATGCAAAGGGTGACTTACACACAAGGGACTCTCAACCCTAGACCTCTATTTTACACTCTGATTTTTCTTGATGTGAGTGATTTCTTTTCTTCTGCTTCTGCTCCTCCTTTTATAGTCGTGCAGACTGGGCTTGGGCTGTGCAGAAGTAACAAATATTAGTTTTAATAAATCAAAACTAATTTCCACAATTCAAGGTGCTGTCCAATTAGGTCATGGCATGGTCAGCATTGCCTTGAATCTCTCCTGAGATAACTCAGAAGTCATAACATGTTTCCTGATATTTAGCCTGATATAAATCAGGTATCATAACAGAAAAACAAACTCAGCCCGTCTTATGTCATACGATCCATGTCATGACATTCAGCTTTTGCTCACTCTTAGCTGCCTAGCTTGCTCTGCTGCACACTCTTGCTGAATCTTCTTCATGACAGTCATGGTTTCTCCAATCTTCTGCAGGATAATATTAGAAACAAGTATATTCAAGTTTCCTAAAAGGTCTCCAAGATCCTTTTATGAACACCAATACAATCTGTTCTTGTTCCTACTGCATCTCCTTGACATATTTACCGATGAGGTATTTTCAACATGATCTCATCAATCCAAACCAGTTATGTCAAGAGATATGCACTGGCAGCTCCTTCTGTTGTCATGCAACTATGTCTTGCTTAAAACACATGACAACACACCACAACTCACACTGTTGTGGCTGCACACCTCACACTGCCTGTGAGGAACTTCATCACAACTTACCATGTTGTGGTTGCGTACATCACACTGCCTGTGAGTAGCAGTGCCTGTTGTGCCAGACAGCTATGTCATTACTTTGGTAATGACATCCATGACAACTGTCCTTTCTTCAGCCTCTACTGGCTCTTGCTTGCTGTTGCAGTGCCTGTTGTGCCAGACAGCTATGAGACATCTATGTCATTACTTTGGTAATGACATCCATGACAACTGTCATTTCTTCAGCCTCTGCTGGCTCTTGCTTGCTGTTGCTGCACTCGACCTTGATGTAGCTGTCCTTTCTCCAGCTCCTGCTTGCCCCTTTAGTGATGTCATAACTATGGTAATGACATCCTGTTTAACCTTAGTGCAGAATCTTGTTTTACCACAATTTAGCCAATCATAGAACCATGGACACTTCTATATCATAGAACCATGAAACTAACAGGGGGGTAACCTGGTAACAGAAAGGGAATATGAGGATCTGAAAATAATGATAGAGCATGTTGGTTTAAATGAGATGGACAACATTGGGGACCATTTCACATGGTCCAATAAGTAAGTAGCTGCACCCATCTACTCAAGGTTTGACAGAATTTTGGGTAATACTGAGTGGTTCCTCACTAATATGGAAACTGTGTTGAAAATACTTCCACCAAATATTTCTGACCATGCATTGCTCTACTTAGACACTAAGGAACAAAGGAAAAATACCAGACATTTTAAGTTTAACAATTACATTACTGAACTGCCTGGATATGATGGACTGATAAAAAGGAACTGGGATATGTATATGAGAGACAGTCCAATGTATGTATTATGTCAAAAACTCAAAAGATTGCAGCAGGAACTAAAAGCCTTTAGCAAGCCTTTTTCTAATATCAGAAATAAACTAACAGCAGCCAGAGACAACCTCAAAAACATACAAGAGCAGCTGACTGGGGACAGGATGAATACCACCTTAATTGGAAAGGTAAGGGATCTGACTGAGGAAGTGATAACACTAAATGATATTGAATGGAAAATTTTACAACAAAGGGCAAAAATCGACTGGATTAGGAAAGGAGATGGAAATAATCATTACTTATATGCTGCTGTCAAAACTAAACACCATTCCACATGCCTTTTCAACTTGCGAAGAAGTGATGGCAGACATCTATCAGACCAGCATGATATTGAAGAGGAAGTGATGGTTTTCTATAAAAATATGATGGGCAAAGAGGATAACAATATTAACCATATAGATATTGAGGCTATGAGAATGGGAAAACAACTCAACTTGGAGCAGAGGGAATATCTCACCAGAAATATCACAGAGGATGATATCTTCAGAGCCGTTAGAGGAATTGGCAACCTCAAAGCACCAGGCCTGGATGGTTATGGAGGCAAATTCTTCAAGGCCAACTGGACAACCATCAAAACTGATGTGATAGCAGCGATAAGGGAGTTTTTCGAAACAGGTAAAATATACAAACCGTTCAACAATGCTGTAGTATCCCTGATTCCAAAAAGCAATGAGGCTTGTGAGATTAAAGATTACAGACCCATAGCTGTGTGCACCACCTTTTATAAAATCATCTCCAAGATCCTGACTGACAGATTGAGATTTGTCCTTCCTAGTGTGATAAGCCATAATCAGGCAGATTTTATACAGGGTCAAAACATTCATAACCACATCATGCTTGCTATTGAACTCTTAAAAGGATACACCAGAAAAGGGGGCACACCTAGAATTATGATGCAAGTAGACCTTCAAAAAGCATATGATATGGTTAATTGGAAATCACTGGAGTTCATAATGAAGGAGTTAGGAATTCCAAATAAATTCATCCAGTGGACTATGCTTGGCATCACCATGGTATCCTACAAGTTTAACATCATGGGGGGTTACACTGAGGTCCTCCAAGCCAAAAGAGGGATTCGACAGGGTGATCCTCTATCACCTCTATTATTTGTCCTCATTATGGAGTACATGAACAGGTTGTTGGTCAAAATGCAAAGGGATCCCAATTTCAATTACCATGCCAAATGTGAGAGTCTGAAAATTACCAACCTCACTTTTGCAGATGACATACTGCTGCTGTGTAGAGGTGACGAAATTTCAATGAAAATGATGTTAGAAACTTTCAGAAATTTCTCCAAATCCACAGGTCTGAAGATGAACCCTAACAAATGCAAGATTTATTTTGGAGGTATGGATGTGGAAACTAGAACGAGATTGAAGGAACTATCGGGTTTCTAGGAAGGCGCACTACCTGTCAAATACCTAGGAATCCCTCTTACTAGCAAAAGATTAACCATCACCCACTTTATTCCGTTGGTGGATAAAATAGTGGCTAGAATTCATCATTGGTCCTCTAGGCTCCTAAGTTATGCCGGTAGAATTCAACTAGTGAAAAGCATAGCTTATGGAATGGTACAATACTGGATGCACTGCCTCCCTCTGCCCAAATACGTGATAAAAAAAACATCGATGCAATCTGTCGGAGCTTCATTTGGACAGGAAAAGAGGCTGCGAGCAGGAAATGCCCCGTGGCATGGAAAACCACGTGCAAGCCTGCTGCGCAAGGTGGGTTGAACATACTAAACCTACAGATCTGGAACAACGTGCTACTCTTGAAATGCCTCTGGAACCTTTGCAACAAAACAGACACATTCTGGGTTAAATGGATACATACTCAGTACTTAAAAGGAGATAATGTGATGAATTATGTTCCCAAACTACATAATTCTTGGATCATGCGGGGCATTTTGAAACAAAGAGATAATATGGATTTGATTCAGCATGAATGAAACCAAGCTATGACCACGCGTAAGTTTAAAGCGGCAGCGTTTTATAAAATATTAATTAATGATGGCACAAGGGTGCACTGGAGAAGACTGATCGGGTACAACAAAGAACGCCCGCGAGCAATCCAATGCTTATGGCAAGCTTGTCATGGGAAGCTTGCAACCAAAGAAAGATTGAAACGTTTTGGGGTAATTGAAGATAACATTTGCAGTTTATGCAAATCGGAGGAGGAAACGATAAGCCACCTGTTCTTCTCCTGTCCAAGAACAAGACACATTTGGGTGGAAATACTCAAATGGTTCAACATACAGCATGAGCCCCAACAATGGGATACAGAACTGATATGGATCACTAATCAAACAAAGGGGAAAGGTTGGAAAGCTGATGTTTTGAAGATGGTAACAGCCGAAACAGTCTACAACATTTGGATTTACAGAAATAGTATTACTTTTGGAAACATAGTAGAAAATACAAACATGGTTGAAAAAATCATAGATAATGTGATTTATAGAGGCTGGAAAAACAATAGAATTAGGAAATATTTGGCTAGTCTTATGATGTAATTAAGTCTTTTAGGGGGTTGGATCCTCTTTGGATCACTTTTGTACTTGACTTTGTTTTTTGAATTAATATATTCTTCCTTGATTCAAAAAAAATAAATATATTTTTATATAGAAAAAAATTATAGACACCAATTTATTCTCTTATAAAGGAATAATTTTTTTTATTTACTTTATTTTTATTACACTTTAGAAATAAATGTGTGTACTATATCGGTATCCGTACAAACGCACGAGTATCCCACTAGTTTTTAAAAAGGTAATAATTATTTTATATAAATTTATTATAGAAATGTAAGACTCGTAGCTTTAAGTAATTATAAGTGTCTTTAATAAGGAAGTTAGAGGTTTTTTTAATGGTTAATTCAAGTAATTGTCTATAAATTACCTACATGTCGTAGATCGTGTTGTTAAGCTCGTTTTATTTTTTTCGACGCCGTTTATGGTCACATGTTTATCCATTAAAATCTGTTTAATTAAGTATTTTATTTACAATTTTGATCATTTTCAAGTGTATTTTATATAACTTATGTTCTGGAGTGGGCCCATACTTGCCCATCAGTTGGGTAGGGCCCAACCCAACGTTATGTGGAGAAGGCCCAACAAGGCCCAAATCCCCCTTTGTCGGACACAGGTGTAGATACGCTGTGCAGATACATCTCCCTGTCGAGCAGAACCACACGTCTTCCACATGTCCTCCACGTGTTTCCCCCCGCGGGGACACGTCATCAGGCAACTACCCACCTCCGAAAGGCTCATCTCAAGATACAAGGCTCATATCATCTTGACCCTAACATGAGACTTGTAGAGCATGTTTCTAGATTTCTTTTGAGTACTAGAACTCATCCGTTGGGTTTGTGGAACTCAAGATATGATGCTGACAAGTTTCAGGTCATCAGATGAATGTATTTTCAGTCAACCAACTTCCAAGGAACTTTTAACCTAAAATCATGTTTCTCCTCACCTTGACCCAAACATGAAAGTTGTTCCTTATGATCTTAGCTTTCCAAAAAGTTCTAGAAGTCCTCCATTTGATTTGTAGAACTCAAGATATGAGGTTTTCAAGGCAAGGGTATTTTGGGAAACTTTGATTATAGGTCATTTTGGTTATAGGTCATTTTCATGACTTTGCACACTTCAAATGCAACTTTGTCCAACATCAAACTTGCATCAAATGAACTCAATTTCATCACCAAACATCAAGCTATCATGGGTTTGACTTGTATATGAAGATTGGTGAAGAAATTTTCATGGAAAAAGGCATTAAAGGCCATGATTTGAGTTGAATGCATTTAAATCACTTTCATGCCATATTTGTGCATTTTTTGAGTCACTTAAACATACCAAGAAAGATGCACAAATTGGATTTAAGTTTTGAGGTCATTTTCATGGGCAATTTCAAGGTTACTTGACAATGAAGGTACACATCCAATATCCACCATAAGATCAAATTAATGGGTTATTTCTATCCATTGGATCAGAATGGATCACAAGCAACTCATTGGAATCAAATTCAAGGCTTTTGGAGCCATTTTTACTCGTGTATGTGAAGCTTTAATCTCAATTATGGATTTTTGCAATTCATGATAACAGGCCACAATTGGGCCTCTAAATTGCTTCTGATCCAAAGTATATAAGTTCTGGATGAAAAACAAAGCTTCATTTAGCCATTTTCATGAAGTTTTGAGCAGAATTCAGTTACAAAACTCAAGAGAAAAGTGGAATCGTGATTTTGCAATTCAAGCCAATTGAAGGTTACCAGTAGCTTCCTTGAAGATCAGTGAAGGTTTATGGGTTGTTTTGCACGAGTTTCATCATCAATTCAAGACCCAACGGAGGAGCTCCGTCAGGTAAATTCTCTTTCAAGAATTCTTTCTGTTTAAGCATCAATCATGTGCCATTTTCATTGAATATTGAAGTCCTACCCTTGTAGGCCATTTCTGGATTGGTTTGGTCTCTGTTCTTGAGGTTTTAGGATTTAATCTTGAATCTTGATTGCTTCATTTTGGCTTAATTATGGATGAAAAGTAGAAACAAACCCTAGATTAGTGATGTGCGTGAGGAGAGGATCATTTTGGTATAAGAAATTGCAAGTTTTTGTGAGGTGTAGGGTTCACTGTTCCGGTGTGTGAACGGAGAAGACGACCAGAGCACATTGGCTTCGGCATCTGGTTATTTGGTCCGGTAGCATATGTTGCTGCATCGTGTCCCTTGGATCTGTTTGACTGGATTTAAAACAGATGGTTCAGATGCGTTGATTGACTTAGTTGACTTCCCCTTTTAATGAAACGATGCGTTTTGATTAAAACGCTGAGTGTTTGTATCTTGGGCCATAATGGCTATTCACACCCCCCATCCTCAAAAGCCCAATGAAACTAACTGGAATCAATTGCTATTTGCCACACGCTTTTCTCATTTTCTTTTATTTTATTTTTCTTTTTCAATTTTTGATCCGTTTGATTTTAATTCAATTAAAATGCTTCCAAATGAGATAAAAATCCACAAAAATAGTTTTTACACATTTTAAGATGTTAACTGATTTTAGGAAATTTTAGTTTTATTTTTTGGAATAGTTTTCAATTAAAAAAGGATTATTCATTTGGAAGTATTTTAATGGGATTAATTCTTGTTCTTTATTGTTTTTGATTTTATTTCTTGATGAATTTTTAATGTTAGTGGCTGATTTTTCTTCCTCATATTCTTGACATGTTAAGGGATTTTAATGGACAATTTTGCCTCTGGTTTGGGGCATTTTGGTTAGGGTTTCAGGCTTTTTTTAGTGACCCTCAATTCATCTTGTCCATTTAGGGTACCTTTAGGGTTTCATTTCTGTTTGTATAGTTTTGGTAGGACTTTGTCCTCAATGTTTTGCTCCTCTGGTCACTAACACCTTGAGGGGTCTTTGAGATTTTATTGGGTAATTTTTGGGTATGTTTCCTATTTTTAGGGTATTTTCCAAGTTAGGTCCTCTTTTAATGGTGTTTACACTAGTGCTTGAACTAGTTTGTGTTGAAAATGACTTGTATGCATTCTTTGAGCCATTAAATCCAGTGGATTCATATTATGGACATAATGAAGTGTTTGTATGTTCAATTTTGGATCCAAATTATGTTCATAACTTGTTCAAATTGATGCATCTTGTTAAGCTTCCAATTAGGGTTTTATGTGGCATGTTTTGCATTCTTTTATGCCTTTGTATGATTACCTTTTATGCATTTTCTTCTCTCCTCTTCTTTGCATTGCATATGTATGCTTGAGGTTGAGATGGGCTTGTGGTGGTGTTTACCCCACAATAATTTCCTGAATGTGTGAAAAATACACAAGAAAGGGGGGGGGGGTTGAATTGGGTATTTACTCTATTAAAACTTTTTCTCTTTTCTTCACTTGTTGCTTTCTATAGAGTTCTTTAAGATGCATTGCGGAAGCATATACAATAAAGCATAACACAAGTAAAGAACACATGATATATCCGGGTTCACTTGAGCAACTCTCAAGCTAATCCAGTCCACCCTTCCAAGGTGATTTCGCCTCACTCAAGCAAGGACTTAATCCACTATAACCAAACTAGTTACAGTTGCACAAGCTAACTGCAGGTGACTAACAAATAGACAATGACATGTTCAGGGATCCCTTAGGATATAACATTCATTGACACCTAATAGAATCCGATCAATTAAGATCTCCTATTAGTTACCACAAATGACAATTGTCACTTGTCATCTCAAGTATTCTGATCTTCACAAGATCACTTGAGGAGCCACTAATTCTAAAATGAATTTGTGTTGCCGGAGATTACATGAGTGCTTCTAGTCAAGAAGATTACTCCTAATTAAGTACATAACAAGTATTGAGCAACAACTCTTTGCTTCCTAATACAGAAACTAATCTAAAGATAAATCTCTACGAGATTATTAGAACACCAGTTTCCATATTGCTTAAAAGCTTTCTTATGTGAGCACTATAACTTCTTAGCATAAAGCTTTACATTCTAACTGGTTCACTGGCTTACCAGCTTGCTAACATTTGAATGTTTCAAATTTTCTTCTTTTATAGTGTATCCAAGAGAGTTGTTGTGAAGGTAGAGATGTCCTTTCAATATTCCAACGGTCATTTCCAACAGATAGAATAAGCACGTGTTGGATAGTACAGTGACATCACTTTCTTTGTCCTTTTCTTGTAACGTTAATATATCATTGTGGAAGACAACTCTTATCCACAAATGATGTGATCTTCATTTATCAGCTTGGACAGATCAGCTTCTGGCTTTGGTTCTTCTGATGATGTATCTGATGAGTAGTTCAGAAACTACTTTGGTACGATAGCATAATAACATCAGAGTCTGACTTCAGCACCTTGTTTATCAGAGTTGATAGCAACAGCTTATCTAATTAACACGTCTTCATCTGGGTAAAGGTACATAATCTTTATCTTCAGAATCTAGTCTTCAGAGTCTTTCTGCACTTGGCCTTTAGAGCCTTCTGCCTTCAGAGCTTCAAGTCATCAGAGTCTTCAGCACGTAATTCTTCAGAGGATTATATCTTCAGAGTCTTGATCTTCAGAACCCGTAAGTCTTCAGAGTCTTTCTGCACTTGGTCTTCAGAGCCTACAACCTTCAGAACTTCAAGTCATCAGAGTCTTCAGAGCTTGGTTCTTCAGAGGACTATATCTCAGATTCTTTGATAGCTTCCAGATCAGATACACTTCTCAGAGCAGAATCCACAAGAGCATTGCAACTACAATATACAACATCTTTGGATCTTTTTAATTGTGATCAAATACAAAGTCATGCTTGCTTCTTCAATATGCTTTGTTTGCTTTCAGATCAGATGCACTACTTAAAGAAGAATCCACAGGAGCATTGCAACAACAATATCCATCGTCCTTGGATCTCTCTGATTGTGATCAGATGCATAAGCAAACTAGCTTCTCCCATAAGCGCTTTATGATACGTCACACATAATAACTCTCATATTGTATTAGCTGCACACGTTGATGTTGTTTGT